AGATTTATTCAAAAATTAGTAGACTATAGAATTAAATTTCTATCGATCTTAGAACACGTACTATGATTACATACGACATCTGCATTGATAAAAACTCTTCTCGGATCGCGCAAAGATAAGTTATTTATAATAACCAATGAGAAAATCAAAAACAAAAACAACAACAAAAGAGAGAGAAAAAAGAAAAAGAAAAAGAGTTCTTCATTCCTTCGATCTTTCTTTGTCGTTCTTTTCCTTGACATCAATTTCCTTCCTTATTTTACGTCATTGTATTATTCACATTTCTTCGTTATACCCAAAAAAAGAAAGATTTTGTTATGGATTCTGTATCGACTTCAGGTACATTAAATATACCACAAATAGTATGTAGAAATGAATTATATTTTTCTTAATTTCTTATCAAACAAGAAAAAAAATATCAAATAGATTCGTAGTGAAACACGTTTACGTGAAACAACATATCGTCTGATAATTTCACAATTATTTTATGATGGTCATCAACAATTAGCTGTATCACTTTCTAATCTTCTTCAAGTAAATATTTTAATCAAATATATATATTTTAATCTTTATATTATATCTTTTATCAGACATCTCCACCATGTCCACCATCTGATCGATTAACACATATTGTTCGACTTGGTCTTAAAGCTGAAGAAGAATCAGAACAAACACGTAAAGCATCAATTGTTGTTACTGATAATGTTCAAGATATTGGTAAGAATATTGTTTTTTGCTTTCTTAATAATAAATTATTTATAAAATTTTATTTTAGGTCTTGATTTTGATTATCAATCAGATTCACCTATAACTAGTCCAGATGCTGGTTCATATGAAACATTCTATGTTACTGCTCATAAAGCACCATGTCGTGCAGCTGCATTTGATGCAACTGGATCAATTATTGCAACTGGTTCAGCAGATGCATCGATAAAAATTCTTGATGTTGATCGGTAGTATATGTATATATCTCTATATAAACTTGATTATATTGATATTGAATTTTTTCTTTTAAAGAATGTTAATAAAAAATAATTTTGGTCTTGATTATGCTCCATCATCAATTGAATCTTCATTAGATAATCATCCTGTTATACGAACATTATATGATCATGCTGATGAAGTTACTTGTTTAGATTTTCATCCATATAGACCAATACTTGTATCGGGTTCACGTGATTATACAATAAAACTTTTTGAATATGCTAAACCTACAACAAAAAAATCTCATCGTTCAATAACTGAAGTTGATCATATACGTTGTTTAAATTTTCATCCAAGTGGTGATTGGCTTCTTGTTGGTACACAACATCCAGTTACACGTTTATATGATGTTGAAACAGGTCGATGTTTTGTTTCAAATCAACCACAAGATCAACATACAAAAGCAGTAACATGTGTTAAATGGGCACCAAGTGGTAAACAATTTGCAACATCATCAAAAGATGGATCATTTAAAATATGGGATGGTGTAACAAATCGTTGTATAAATACATTTGATGGTGCACATGGTGGAGAAGAAGTTTGTTCAGTTACATTTACAAAAAATTCAAAATATTTATTAACTAGTGGAAAAGATTCACAAGTTCGTTTATGGGAATTATCAACAGCTGTAAGTTAATTTCAATGTATTTTTTGTTTTTTATTTAACTATATTTTGTAAATTTTCTAGCGTTGTTTAATTCATTATACTGGTGCTGGTACTTTAGCTAAACAAGAACATCGTGCAACATCTGTATTTAATCATACTGAAGATTATATACTTTATCCTGATGAAAAAGCGACATCATTATGTTGTTGGAATTCACGTAATGCTGAACGACAACGTTTACTTGGTTTAGGACATAATGCTCCTGTTAAATGTATTGTACATAGTCCAACAGCACCAGCTTTTGTTACATGTTCAGATGATCATCGTGCTCGATTTTGGTGTAAACGAACATTATTTACTGATTAAAATAAAAAAAAAAGCAAATGATTCTTTTCTGTGTATTTATCATTTGTATTATTGTGATAAATTATCATTGTTGTTGTTATATCTTCATCTTCTTCTTTTTTTTTTCAGATAATGCTACCTTTATTAAGTAATCTTGAAAATGAACTATATCCATCTATTCGTTTTCGTAATAATTTCTATTCAACAACAACTATAACAAATCCATTATTACAAACTCCACCACCTCCTCCAATGTTTAACTATCCTAATGGTCAAACATCCATACAACAATTTCTTAATTCTGATATGCTTGCATCTATGTCACGTAGTAATTCTCAACCAGATTTAACCGCTGCCTCAAATACTGTACAATCATCTACTAATCAATTAACATCATCAAAATCTATGTCAGTTTGTTCCGATGATTTATATATGGATATCAATGGATGTAATAGTTCAGGTGTTGTCGATGATTTATTTCTTGGTATAGAAGCAGATTTTATTGGTACATCTGATCTATCAGATCTTTTTGAGAATGATTATTTTTCCGAATTAGATGATACACGTTCATTATTTCAACAATTTCCTAATCCATCTAGTCTATTACCTGCACCACAACGTAGTGCACCATCATCACCAAAACTTCGCGCTAAAAGTCGTACGAATAGTCATGGAAGACAATTACCAACAAAATTATGGTCAAAAATGACAAGTGATGAACAAACATCAGCAACTGATGATTTAACACTTATTATTAATAGACAACTTGGTAGACGTGAACAATTAGAAATTATACGAATATTACAACCAGATGGACCACAATTATTACCATATCAAACAGAATTTGTTTTAGATTTTTCTGATATGAATGATGATAAACATAGAAGAATTAAAAATATAATTAAATTTAATTTAATTGGTAATAGTGGATCAATGAATGATGAAAGTGATGGTTATTCATCATTATCTTCGAATAAAAGTGATCCATTGCATCAACGTATTGAAAAAGCATTAAAATTACGACAACGTAAAGAACAAAGGCAAGCAGCTAAAGAACATCGTTCAGGTTTATTTAATGCTCAACATCATCAAGTACTTGAACTAACAAAATGCGATGAAGATATTGAAGTGGATATTTTATCATAACTTATAGTCTTAAACGTTTTCTTTTTTACTATTATTATTATTATTATTATTGTTATATGTCACTCAACGTTTACTTCTTTCCATACAATTGCAATTGTACTCATTTTCTTGCTCTCTCTCTCTTTCTCTGTACCTATGTCGTTTCTTTTTCTCTCTGTGCACTTGTTTGTGCGTGTGTGTGTGTGTGTGTGTGTATGAAGATTGGTGACAAAAAAAGAAAAAACCATTTTATTCCAAAAAAAGATAGAAGATTTGTTTTTGAAGAGGAAATAATGTGCATTGAGGTCATAAATAAGTTTTACGTCAACTATATGATCCTCATTAGAAATAAACAACGGAAATAGATCCGGCAGTTTGAGAAAATGCCGGATGTAAGGATGTTAAATCCTATGCTCATTATAAATCTATTCTTCAAAAAAGAAAATTTCGAAGTAATCAAAAAGAATAAGAAAATATACTACTACTTCATATTTGAAAGTTCTATCTTCATTCAACTAATAGAAAGGAAATCAATGGATGTTTGCTTATGTATGTGTAGAAGAGGAGATTTATAATTGCAGGAAAACATCTTATGAGACATGTTTTTATATATGTATGTTTTGAGGGATAAATATTAGTAATCTTTCGATCTATTTTAGTATTTATTTGTATAGAAAGAAAAAACCTCGAGAAGAGAGATTTATTTTTAGATCCACAAGGATTTGATAAATAAATAATAACTAATTAATAAAATTTGAAAGATAAAACATATTTTCGACAAAATAGGTCACTCTATAATCATTATCAACACTTGAAATTATTAATACGATGCTTTACAAGTATAAATGGTAGATTTGACATTGACTGATCTTTATTATAATTGATTGTAAATGAATAATTAGATTAACTTTGAAGAAGAAAAAAAATTACGTATTTTTTAATAAATGATTCTATTGGGATATGACTGAATATTCTTTGTTCGTTTATATTGACATATATTTTTTTCTGTGCAAAGCTCTTGTGTGAAATAATCAGAACATAATTTAGTCTAATTGGTTTTCGAATACCAGATAGTCCATAAAGAATAAACAAGGCAAATAATTTATAATAAATCTTTTCTTAAGATCTTTCGACAACAATATCCATTAGGAAGAATAAATCTTTCGTTATCCTTTATTCAATCATTATCTTCATTAGTTCGATAATGAATGTTCTTTTAATGAAAGTATTTGTTTTGTTTATTGATTTTTCCTCTGACTATATTTGTATATTTTACAAGTAAATAAACCAATTGATATTGTATTATAAATAAAATAATGATGAAAGAACACGTCATTCGTAATATTATCAGCAATCCTTTGACGTCTACGTATCTTGCATGCAATCAATCTATCTATCTTCCATATATACATCCACAAGCGACAAATATCCTGCCGTTTGGCATTAGTCGATAGCGGTCGAGATGTCAGTCGAACGAGAATAGAAAATGGATATCCTATATTTTTTTCTTTTCGTAGACTAGAATAAAGAGAAAGAAGAAAAAAAAATCAGAATTGACACAAAATCCAAGGACATTGTTACACTTATACTTAATTATATATTGAATAGTAGAATGATATCAATAACATGTAGGCGTGCATGGTTCATTCCTTTTCATTGTTAGCTATTCTTTTAGTCTATTAATCATTTCACAAATGGATATAATAATACTAGGAAGCAAGTAATTATTATTATTCTGTAGAAACCTTGGTCTATGGTTTGACCTTGCTCGTATATGACATTTCCTGCCATTTGTTGTTGTTGTTGCTTTTGGGATCATTCTATTCACACTTGTTTTTTTGCTTTCTTATCTTTTCTTTTTATGTCTAGATTTTTTTGAAGAATTATCAATCAATCAATCAGTTCTGATTGTAAACTGTTACGCACAGTACCTTCGACAATGGCAACACAAAAGGTTAATAAAGATCGTCTTTTTTTAACTCGACTTTCAGAAACTTATAAATGTCGATCTGGTGATAATGTACTTCTTGAATGTTATCTTCGTTATCAACGTATTAAATCTATTGCATGGTATGCAAAAGGTGAACATGTTGATACACGAGGTGTGCGTATATGGTATCAATATGTACCAACTACAGGTCAATGTATACTTTATATACGGTCTGTTAATTATGGTGATGAAGGTTCATACTGTTGTCAAGCAACAAGTATTGATAATGTTGTTGAAACATTAGAAATTAAAATAAAGATTGATAATTGTAAGTATGAAAAGTTTTGTTTTGTATGATAGTTTATTAACGGATTTATTTAGCTGATAAAACTTGGACTAAAATTCCAATACTTCATATGGCTGGACGAGTTATGCCCGGTGGTAAGAAATTCTTATTTATTTAAATTGAAAAGCTTTTTTGTCATATTGTTAGACGTTAAACAATTGATTGCCAGTTGTCAAACATAAAAATTAATCTCTTATCTTGGTAAACAATCACAACGGTGTTTTTAGTTTTCTACTTCGTCACTTCTTTATATATATTTTTACAATATAAGATAATCATAATAAAAAAAGTTTTTTGAAAGAATATTTTCTTTTTCAATGACATATAGAAATAGTTTTGTAAGCTGATAACAAAACATTTTTTGCATCTTTTTCTTCCGTCTACTATCTCTACTCGATCTAACACTTGACTTATAATCAAATAATCATTCGATGTTAGATATTGTCGTCGTTTTCTTCGCTTTCTACTAAGAATAACGATCGTCGTCGTCGTAGGAATGTGCTACGATATAGTTATACATAGACGCATGTTATTCACATAATATTAAGAAAATAGTATGTTAGAACCTATGAAAGAAAGAATAACAATAACACACTGAAATGTTTTTAACAAGAGTAAAAGACTTCTATAACCGTACACAAATGAGCATGTTTTTATCTCTGACAGCTAATTAACAAATTTAGATAGAAACTATGCTTCTTCTTTTTTTCGGGGGTTATGATCTATCAAAAATAAATACATTCTTGCTAATATGAAATAAATAGCCAAAATATTCAAGTAACTAATAATAACGATAACAGATTGATCTTCATGATAATAATTCATTCCGTAAGTTTTACATTCTATTGTTAATGAATTGATCTATGACTTTTGTTTTTTCAATATCTTTCGTAATATTTTAATAATGATACAATTCGCGTAATATATATACTCATTCTGGTAAACATTTATTATCAACCAATAGTATGCAAGATCATTTATACGTTAACCATATATAATTTTCTGTACTATTGAAGAATTCGATCCTTGTAATGTTAATATACAACTATATATATTTGTTATTTAAAAATGATTATTATGGTAAATAAAAACAACTGAAAAGTTATGTAAATGTATTTTCATCTAATATTTCAAAAGAATATAATATTTCATAAGAATAATCTTCTCATCGTTGTTTTTTCTAGAAAAAAAACAAATTATATAATCATCACATTTTATTGTCTGGATATTGAATAATGCTAATACAATATTATTTATTATTTTAAGAATAAGAACAATTATCTCAATAAAAATCCAATGTCTATTATGACATTTGATATTTATTCGTAATTTATTAAAAATTTCCCTATATCACTAAATGAATGATTCCTTTAAATATCCTCACTAACCATAAATTCCTTATCAATAATCTTCTAATATACGTTGACATCAATGTCTATCAACAACATAAGTTCATAGGAAATAATTATACTTTTTTCTCTTGTTACTACTGTATAAGAAATACGAGTACATCGGTCATTCTTTTCTTTTTCTATTCCTATATTTGTGCTAACTAGAAGAGTAAGAAAAGAACGATGGCTAAATGGACGATTATGGAAAAAGGGGAAAAAAAAGTATCCCTTGTGTGATACTAACCCATGACTCTTCGAGACATTGTTGATATCCGTTTTTTTTTCTTCTCTTCGATTATATCATCTATACAGCTGTTGAACAACAATCGACTAAACACTTAGTTTTTCTATCATTCATCAACTAGATTATAAGACTAACAAATGTACTTTTCCATTTTTTTTGGTTGTGCTCTCTCTCTCTGTCTTCTATCAATAGTCTAAATTAGAGTTCAATGCTGTATTTAATAAAAACATGACAATTGGTAAAGATTTTCTTTCAAATTTAAATAATCATACTGATGATGAATCAGATGAATATAAACGAAATGATTCAATACAAATTGGTTTTGAACAAGAACTTAAATCTTTAACAGTACATTATGGAGATTCAGCAAGATTTGAAGCTAAAATACGTTTAATATCAACATCATCATGTCAACCAATTGACCGTACATTATTACGTATTGAATGGCGTTTAAATGATATATCAATTACCAATGATAATAGTTCAAAGTATCAATTCGGATGTTTACATGATGAAAATCGTTTTTGGATGGATATACGACAATGTCAACAACAAGATGAAAAAGTTTATACAATTTATATTAGTTATGATAATGGAAAATTACATGATGAATCTAGTGCATATCTTTTTCTAAATAGTGAGTTTAGTTAGAATATAAAGAGCATGCGAAAGATGAATATTCTTCTATTTCAGGCTATTCAATTGAGCATGAAGAGCAATCTTTTGAAATCAACCATAAAGAATTGAGTATCATAAGTTCACCATCATTGTCCACATCTTCTAATCGTTATGTACCACCAAAAATAACTCGAGCACTTCAATCGTCGTATAGATATCATTCAGGTGAGCAATTACATTTCTTGGTGGAATATATTTGTTCATCGGTTGAATGTCAATCTGCATGGCAAGTACAGCATTCGAATGATAAAATGCCAAAACCAATAGAAGATGGATTAATAGTTAATGCTGATTGTTCATCGATTTTAATTATTGAATCGATTACTTCGGAATTACAGGGTTTGTATACATTCTATGTTGAAAATCTATATGGACGTGCTAAAACACAAACACTTGTTATTATTGATTCAAATAATATTAATGATGATGATACACAACGTAAGTCAATTTCAATTATTTTAAAATCTAACTATTATTATTATTATTAAAGAATATAATGAAATACAATATGAAACATCGAATCAAAATAATGAATTACAACAATATTATTCAAATGGATCATCGCATAAAACTATTTCAGCAATACATGATTTATCATCAAATGAATCATCGGAATATGAAGAACTTAAAGCTCATTCTTCCAATGAAAAATCAATCTCATCAATGTCAATTACCGATGAAGATATGACCTTTTCATCAGTAAATTTTTCTTTCCTCCTCAAATTATATCCATATTTTGTAATTTTTTTTTTGTAAAGGTTAATGAAGAAAAATCAAATAAACAAAAACATGAGTTTCAAATTAATCTATCGACTGTTGAAGATTTATATAGTCAACGGCATATTGCATATTTTGATCCATCACCTAAATTTGAACATGGTGAACCTATTGAACAATTTGAAAATGATGATCCCTTTACACGAAGCACAATTAATAATTATCAAATACAAAATGTTTGTATCATAGAATATTATCTATAAAAATATTTTCTAATAAATTATTTCTTTTAGGGACGTGATTCAACAGCTCAGGTTAAATTCGATCTTCCTCCACCACCACCCATCGATGATAATTCAGACGAACATATCTATGAGGACATTCCACACATTATTCCTATTCCACAAACTTCTGCCATGATTTCCGTCCGACAGGAATCAACTGATATAACAGATAGAGATATAAGTGCAATGGAACATTCATCATTTATGTCTTGTTCACCAAATTCACTTGATGAAGCACTTAATATTGTTGAACAATGGCCTGATATTAATACTGATAATGATATGTTTGAATTATCATCACCATCACGAATTTCACAAATTTCATATTTAATACCAGCAACAAATGAATATATAGATGATCAATATATGAATTATAATTCAGTTGTTAATTCAGCTAATATTCAGAATATTTCATCACATGATAAATCAATTCAAGATACATCGATTAATATAAATTACGTACGTCATACAGAATTCAATGATTCTAAGCAACAAGTCAAACTAATTACACAACCAAGTGTTATTGCTGATGAAATCATTTTTTGTGAAAATGCAATCAATCTTGATCAAATTCATTGTGTTAAAAAACAAGTCAGATATACTGAATTATCCAATGAATTACATAAACAAACAGAAGAACAATTAGCAACAAATCGTCAAATAACATCTCCTGTAAAACACGAAGAAAAAGTTGAAAATTTAGTTTCAATAGATTCATTACATAGTATCGATCATGTCATTGAAACAATTCATGTAGAAGATGAATTATACGAAGCTAAAGAAACATTTATTTCTGGTATGCAAGTATCAAACGATCAATTTGATACTTTATCTACTGATTTTATAGAATGCAAATCACCTGCATCATCCATAACTGAAACTGAAGAACCATTCACAATTTTATCCAATGAATACATTGATCATAGTGATATCCTATCTTCCGAAACATGTCCACATAATCAAAATTCCGACACTATTATTATTACAGCTGAAGATATTTCTTCTGTAAATTTTCCTATATCATCTGCATCGATAGAATCGTCAGGTTCAGTATCAGGTATATTCATATTATAAAGTTAATAAAATTTAATAGTAAATTTCCTTCTTATTTATTTAGCTACGGCAATTAATGAACAAACACCTATTATTACTCTAACTATTATTGGAGAGACTCAAGAATCTTTATCTGTACCGATTCAAACAGATCTATTACCACTTGCTACAATGCCTGATCAAACAAAAAATATAGACGAACAACGTGTACCAGATAGAATTGTTCAAGATGTTCTTTCCGCTTCACTCGAACCCGCAAAAGTTACTCATACTGAAGGTACAGTAGAGATTATGCCATTGGCATCAATAGAAAAAATAAATGATATTCCTGCCATCAACAATCATACTGAATTTTGTTATGTTGAGTCTGAAAACTTGGAAAAAACACCAATTACTTTAGCCGAAGCAGAAAAATTACAACATGATGCAGCTATAGAACCAAAAGAAGAAGATTCGAAATTAATAAATGTACAAACTACACTAAAACCTTGTACTTCAATAGAAAACAACGGCGATGATATTGTGGATGTGTCCGTAGAGAAATCTACAAATAAAAAAAAGAAAAGTACTATTTCATCCGTACAAGAAACTCCCAATGACAAAAAATCAAAACCAGTCAGTAAAAAGGACACTGATGTATCATGCAATTCTAATAAAAAAGACGAAGCACAAATAACTGCCAAAAAAACAAATGATATTGACCAACAAATACTATCCGATCAAGATAGTAAGTCTGAATTACAGAAAGTTTTTGATAAAAAGAAAAAAGAACCTATTATCACTGAAAATCCAATGCCAATTGACAAAATTCAATCAATAGAGCAAGAATGTATTCAACCAAAATTTTCTCTTCGTCTCAAACCAACAACTACAATAGATCATGATGAGAAACTTCAATTAGAAGTTCATTTTACTGGACAACCAGAACCAATAGTAAAAACTCTATTTTTATATCAATAGTCATTCTATGATTTTTATTTAGGCAACATGGTATTTTAAATCAGATATACTTCTATGTTCATCTAATATACATGTTATTCAATCACATAATACTGATAAATTCTATTCAACATTAACTATTCAGAAAATTAATTCCGATTATGATGGTAAATTTAAAGTCATAATAAAAAATAAATTAGGTGAAGCTGTTAGTGCCACACAAGTAAATGTTAAACGAGGTGTGTATATATATGAATGAAAAAAAAACTATCAATATCTACTTATAATATTATTTTTAGCATGTATAGCTGTACAATTACATACACCCACGAAGAAAACGAATGCTAATAAGACAGCAATATGCCCAACAAATGAGTAAGTGTCTCAACTACTTATTATGTTATTATTTGGATCAGTAAAGAAAAAAATTCTTAAATGCTTTATTGATATTTAGATATATATATATATACATAGAACCTTGGATTTGTACTTCTATCTCCTTTCTTTATAGACAAGCATCCTATAATTTAATTTGTCCTTTATTACATATTACTTTTGTTTATTGTACTTAAGGAAACATCATACTTGAACTTAAGTTCAAAGTAGTAATAATAAGAAGGACAATTAAGTGAAATAAATTCATTGACGATCTCTTAAGTCATATATTCTACGATAATGTATATTTTGAGAATTTCAAGGACATATTATATTTATAGATCTTTCTTTAAATAGCCTCAATTATATTCTTCTACAAACAATAAAAAATAGATTGTCACATGCATTGTCTTGATAGACAGCCTTGTCAAGAAAAGTATTATCTATTGTATGTACTCAATAATACCATGTACAACGATATAGAATAGCGATAAACAACCAAATGTATATATCTATCTTGATTTATGACTCAATATAAAAAAAACAAAATCGGATATATTTTCTTCTCCTAAAACATTCCTCACTGAATACCAGTAAAATGATCCGAAAAATTAAAAATGTATTTAGCGGGTGGTAAAAACAACCTGAAATAATAATGAAATAATTGTATGTTTGTTTATTGCTTTCTCTTTCTTTTTCTAATTTATTAACATATAAACGTACGCATATATCAGATATTATAATTAAGTAATCTAGCGTCTTCTTCTTCTTTTTTCTCTCTATCTTGTCTTTATTATTTTCTATTTTGAAGCAACTGTTTTATGTGGTAATCGTGCGAGAACAACATGTAGGCAATAGTTTATAGTACCGAGAAAGATTCCATGCAGATATTTGGTCTTATTTAAAGTGCAAAAAAACAACAGTGTGTGTCATCCCTTGTCAAAGATAAAATAGAGCGAGAATAATCTATATATATACACGTAATCTGAGTAGAAATGTATTGTATACATCAATTTGGATAGCATCGTCAAAAAAAAAAGAAAGAAAAGAGAGACAAATCGATTGCAGATGGACGGCTGTATAACGAGAAGACGTTGGATTTGTTTAGGAAAACAAGAAGTTAAAGAAAAGACGAAATAGGAGGTGGAAAAACAGTATATTTCTTTTTTTTGTCACGACTGTTGTTATCGGCCTGCCTTAGCTTTGCAACAGTTCCACACCCACAGGACAGAACGGATACTGATATTTACACATATACAAACGAATGAATCAATAGAGAAATGATAGTCGCTAATACATATTAAAGTTTTTCTTTTACTTATCATTTACTGTGAAAAGAATAATAACATAATAAGAACAACAACGTCAACCATGCAATCTCCAAGACGCGGGAGGTAAATGACATAGATGAATCCTCTGTAACCTTATATGAGCGGATTTATTGTAAAAATAACTTTAGCATATGTATATCCGTCTTTGTACTGGGTAATATTATCTACAGGCATGAAATAATCTTGTATATCATTTTATGATTGATCGTTATTATATGAGTTCTAATCTTTCTCCTTGAGAATGATATTCTTGATTCCTTTTTTTTCTTTTTTTTTGTCGAAAACAAATCACTTATTGATGTGTTTAGAATATAGAATAAATATTATTCTTATTGTTTAATTTACTCTAGCAAAAACCGTGTATCATTTTCCGGTGCAAGTGGTGGCACTGGTGAAACAGCAGAAGCAATGTCAAATGAAAATCCAAATTCTACTCAAAGACGTCGTTCAAGTACATTAGCTATACCTGAAGGCAAACCAACATTTTCTCAACCACTTGAAAATGAATTATTTATTAATGAAGATGATCAACTTAAGTAAAAACAAATAAATTTATTTTCATAGTCTATTTTTAGAAAAAAATATTTTGTTTTGTTCTAGTCTCGAATGTATAGTTACCGGTAATCCTGTACCAGAATTAATTTGGTTATTTAATGATCGAAAAGTCGTTTTTGAAGATGGTTATGATAAAAAAACTGAAATATTAAATCCTCATACTGTACGTCATCAATTACTTATCAGTCCTAAACATAAAAAATTAGGTGTTTATAAAGCTCAAGGGCAAAATACATTTGGTCATACAATTAGTACATGTCATGTTAAAAAATCAGCTCATTCAATTAATCAACGAAGAGCTGCATTTGAAGAATCAGAATTATTATCAGTAGCTCCACCTACTCAAAGACGTCGTTCAAGTGTAACAGCACCTGCTAATCTTGAACAACTTCAACAACAACAAATAACACAAAAACCAATAATTGTTCAAGGTCTTTCAAAACTTCAAGTCGATTTAAGTTCACCTTGTGCATTAACATGTAAATCAAAATATGATACTGAACAACAATGGATTAAAGATGGACAACCATTAGCTGGTACAAAATCAAATGATGGTAATGTATTTACAAAAGCTGATCGATCCAATGATGGAAATACACATGTACTTAATATAAAACAATTTAAACAAGAAAATAGTGGAAATTATGAATTATTATTAAAAAATAATCTTGGACAAATTACTTCTCAAGGACAATTAGAAATGAAAGGTATACCACCAACATTTACTGTTGAACCAAAAACAACACAAGTGGTTAAAGGTAATACAGCTGAATTCAATTGTCGAATTATTGGAAGTCCAAAACCAGAAGTAAATTTCATATTTGTTTGTTTTTTTTCGTATATTAATTTCTCCTATGTGTAGGTTCAATGGTTTCTTAATGGAAAGATTTTACATTCTGGTGGTAAAATTTCTATTGTTGAAGAACGTGGTTTAGTTATTCTTCGTATCGAGAATATTACGGATGCCGATAATGGTACAATAAAATGTGTTGTAAAAAATACTTTATCAGAAATTTCACGTGAAGTTCAATTACAAATCATTGGTGAACAACGTACACCAAAAATACTTGATAAATCAAAATCAATTACAGTGAATGCTGATGAAAGTACAGAATTTTTTGTTAAAGTATCTGGTGCACCAACACCAGTAGTTACATGGACACGAAAAGGCATGACATTATCTTCAAATGATTTATATCAAATTCGAAATGAAAATGATATGCATTATTTATTAATAAAAAAAGCTGTTGCTGAAGTTGTTGGAACGTATGTTATAACAGCAGCTAATAGTGCAGGAAAAGTTTCGACAGAAATTGATCTTACTATCACTGGTAAGTTTTTTTAAAGAGAAAATCATTGATTGATATATATGTATAATTGAATTGATTTAAGGTTTAACTACATTATTTGAACGTCCATTACGTGATACATCAGTGACACAGGGTCGCCCATTATCCCTTGATTGTGAAGTCAATATCAAAAATGGTGTACCAACAATCGTCTGGTAAAAATAATTTCTTTGTTTTGTATGAAGAAGAAAAAAGGATTGTAGAATAAGGTTAACAGAATGATACCACATGTGATATAGGGTAAAGAACAAAAATAGTAACAGCAGATTTTGAGTCAATAGATGTTTATTGCTTATTGATCCATTTACTCAATAACATATGGATATTGCCTTTAATAACCTATACATACGCATGATAAAAAATTAACAGATAATATGACAAATATATCATAAGAACTAGTTTTTAATTATTTATCTATTCACTTATAAAATGATGATTTAGGATGAAAAATAATGAACCAATAACAAATTCTGATCGTATTGTTCCATCTGTAAAAGGCAATAAAGTTCATGTTTTAACAATTAAACAAGCAACACCATCTGATGCTGGTTACTATAGTGTAAAAGCTACTTTAGGTAGTTCAATAAGTGTATCTGATGCTCAAGTTAGTATTGAAGTTGCACCAACATTTGTTAAAATTCCTGAAACTGTTACTGTTGTTGATGGACAAGATTGTAAAATAAATATTGAAGTATATGGTTTACCACCTCCGCTTGTTAAATGGTCACATTTAGCTGAAGATTTAACAACAAATGCTAAATATACAATTACATCTGATGGTACACATCATCAATTACGTATTCAACGTGCAACAGCACAAGATGCTGGTGAATATCAAGTTATTTGTTCAAATAATCTTGGTCGTATAACAGGAAAAATTGATGTTAGAATCTCATCACCACCCGTTATAATACAACCATTAAAAGATTTATTTATTCCAATAAAACGTATAGCACGATTAGAAACACAAATTCATGCATTTCCTGAACCAAAAATAATTTGGTCAAAAGATGCTATACCTATTGATTTTAGTTTATATCCAGGAAGAATAAATGCTGAAGAACGTCGAGGAACTTATTCTTTAGTTATAAAAAATATACAATTAGAAGATGGTGGTTTCTATGTATGTACAGCACAAAATTCATTTGGTACGATAAAAACATCAGCTACATTAACTGTTGAAGTTGCACCTGTATTTTTACAAAAACTGGAAAAATTAGAAGGTGTTGAAAATTGTGATATTGATATACGTTTACAAGTTGTTGGTTATCCAAAACCAAAATTAGATTTTTCATTTAATCAACGACCTATTGAATTAAAAGGCCGATATGCATTAAAAGAACTTAAATCTGGTTGTTATGTATTTACTATAATGAATGCACAACATTCTGATGCAGGTTCGTATTCATGTACAGCAACAAATTCACTTGGACAAGCATCATCCGTTGGAAAATTAACATTATATCGTAGGTTCTAAAACTTCTTGTGAATAATTTTAATTAAAATTTCATTTCCTATATAGCATTATCTCCACCAAATTTTACAAGAAGTTTAACTGATGCTGTATTTCCTGTTGAAGGAATATTAAAAGTTGAAACGAAAGTTAGTGGTTTACCATTTCCACGTTTAACATGGTTTAAAGATGGACAAATTTTTGATGAAAATGATCGTATATCAATTGAATATGATTCTGCAACTGGCACATGGGCATTAATAATACGTGATTGTCAAGAAAGTGATACAGGCGTTTATGAATGTCGTGCAAAAAATCCTGGAGGAGAAAAAATAAGTAAATGTAAAATAACAGTCTCAGGTGAAGCAGCATCATTTATTGATACACCAGAAAAAGTTACTTGTTTGGAAGGACAAACAGCTGTATTTGGTTGTCGAGTATCTGGTGATCCATATCCAATAGTTGTATGGTCAAAAGGTAAAACAAAAACATTTACAGAAAATACATCGAAATATGCACTTTATTATGATGATGAATTTGATGCACATTTCTTTGAAATCAATCAATGTTCGGATGCTGATACAGGCACTTATACAGTTACAATTCAGAATGTTCATAAAACATTAATAAAACCTGTTTCATGTTTTATTGTAACTAGACCAGAAGAAGTTATTGATTATAAGAGTATTTTACGAAGAATGTAAGTTTAAAATTAGTTTTTTTCATTGAGATTTTAAGAATTATTAATAATTTTTATTTCATAGGGAAGCTGCAGAACGTGAAGTTGATGGTGGACCTGATTGGGGTAAATTAAAGAAAGGTAAAGGTAAACCAAGAGGTCCAGGTGATCCTGGTTGGCAATATCAATTGAAACATTTTGAATTAACTGGTGATGCACAATTAAAAACATATGATAAAGGTCAAAGTGGAGATTTATTAGGTTTAACACCTAGTGAATATGCTGGACGTCGTTCACGTTCAGGTACAGGTCTTGGTGATGATTTAGGCAATGATGATGGACGTGGATTAGGTGTACCAAAACCTGGAGCAGGTAAAGATCGTCGAGTATCACGTCTTGGTCTTGTCACATTTACAAAACCATTATCAAATATAACTGTACATGAAGGTAAAAATGCTGCATTTGAATGTAATGTATCTGAACCTGATGCACCTGTAACATGGTATATTAATGATCAACCTGTACCTACTCAACGTGCACAAACATTAGCTATTGGTAAAACACGTCGTCTTGTATTAAAAGATTGTTTATTAAATGAAAATAATTCTACAATAACATGTGCACTTGATGAAGCAACAAAAACGAGTGGACAATTATTTGTTAAAGAAGAACCATTTGATTTTACAGATAAATTAAAGAATCTTAAAATAAAACGTGGAACTAAATGTGAATTACAATGTGCTGTTAATAAACCTAATATTGCATTACAATGGTTTAAAGATGGAAAACCAATTACAGATATTAAAGAAGAAGTTGATGGTTTAGTTCATCGATTGATAATACCAGTTGCTGAAGATAAAGATAAAGGTGTTTATACAGCTAAATATCAAGATGTACAAACAGAAGGACATGTAGAAATATTAGGTCCACCGCAAATAATTAAACCTCCAACTGATTCTGTTCTTCTCGTTGGTCAATCTGTTGTTCTTACTGCTGAAATAACAGGTAGTCCAAAACCACAAGTTACATGGTTATTTAAAGGTCAACCAATAAAACCAACAGCAACAAAACATCAAATGGATGCAAAAAAAGATGGTATATATACTTTAACAATTCTCAAAGGTGAAACAAGTGATGAAGGTCAATATACAGTCGTCGCTGAAAATCCTGTTGATAAAGTTCAAGCAAATGCTAAAGTTAGTGTATGTACAAAACCAAAAGTTGATAAATTAGGTGATGTTTCTGTTAATATTGGTGAAAATGCTCGTATACAATGTCAATATTCTGGTAATCCAATACCAACTATAACTTGGTATAAAGATGGAAAACCAATTCCAGATAATGATCAACGATTTCTTATAACACAAGAAACACAAACATTATCAGTTTTAACAATTAATAATACAACTATGGATGATAAAGGTGTTTATTCAGTTAAATTAACAAATATTGCTGGTGATGTTGAAGGAAAAGCTAATTTAGTTATTAAACGTAAGTTTGTTTTTTTCTTATATTTTAATCTTACAAAGAATTTGTTTTTAGCAATTAAACCAAGTATTACACGTGATCTTGAAACAACTTATACTAGTATAAAAGGTGAAGATCTTATAATATCAATATCTGGTACTGGTAATCCACATCCAACATGTCAATGGTTTAAAAATAATACTGAAATAACAACAGCAACAGATCAACGTATACAATTTAAAGAAGATACAAAAACAAATGAATATTTTCTTATTATTAAAAATGCGACACAAGATGATATGGGTGAATATCAAGCTCAATTAACTAATGTTGCAGGTTTAATTAAATCGAAGAAAAGTAAAATAACTATACAAAAACAACCAACATTTATTAAAAAACCACAATCAATTACTGTCAATCAAAATGATACAGGTAAAATTGAATGTCAAATTGATGCATTACCACAAGCAAAAGTAACATGGTTAGTATCAGGTAAACCAATTTCACCAAAAGATGGTTATGAAACAGCATTTGATGTCAAAACTGGTATTGCAACATTATCAATTAAAAATATAACAACAAAACATGCTGGACCAATTACTGTTCGAGCAGAAAATACAGCTGGTACAGCTGAAGAAACAGCTGATATTAATGTACGTTCAGCACCAATTCTTCTTAAACCTCTAACTGATACAGAAGTTATTACAACGTATGATGCAACATTTACATGTGAATTTCAATCATCACCACAAGCAACTATAAAATGGTTTTGTAATGGTAAACCAATAACACCTACAGCAAATAAATATGATATATCATATGATACAAAAACAAATCAACATAAACTTATTATTAAAAATACAACATTAAATGATAATGGAAATTATAGTGCACAAGCAATAAATGAACTTGGACAAATTCAAACAGAAGCTAAACTTCATGTTATAAATGCACCCGAATTTATTTCTGGTTTAAAAGATCAAACAGTAATTGAAAAAGAAACAATTGAATTAATTATTAAAGTTTCCGGTACACCACAACCAACATTAACTTGGTTGAAAGCTGGAAAAGAAATAAAAATTGATGAGAAAAAATATTCCGTTGTACCTATAGATAAAGATGGTAATGCTAAATTAATCATTAAAGATATCAATGAAGAAGATCAAGCATTATATTCTTGTGTTGCAAAAAATAAAGTTGGTGCAAATCAAACGGATGGTCATTTGAAAGTAACAGCACCATTAAAATTCATACAACCATTACAAGATACAGATGTATTAACTACACAAAATGCTACATTAACATGTGAAGTACAAGGTATTCCGAAAGCAAATATTAAATGGTAAGTTTTTGTATATTATAGAAGAATATTTTAAATCATTTCATAATAGGTATTTCAATGATATTGAACTTAAATCAACAGGAAAACAAACGATATCATCTAAACAAAATATACATTCATTAACAATTAATCGTTCTGATGCAACTGATGCTGGTAGATTGTGTTATAATTTCATTTCATTCATCTTCATGTTTTATTTTTTCGTATAGGTATTTATAAAGCTGTTGCTGATAATGGCACTGGTAAAACAGTTGAAACAACATGTACTCTTATTGTTGGCAGTATGTATTATTTATTGTGAATTGCATCATCTCCTCTTCTTTTTTTCTCTTTGTCCAGGTAAACCAAAAGTTGAAGGTAAACCTAATGATGTTACTGTTAATGTTGAACAACCAGCTACTCTCGAATGTACATTTTCTGGTTTTCCAAAACCTGAAATTACTTGGTTTAAAGATAATGTTCCAATAACTCCCAATCAACGTGTAACAATTCATGAAGATAAACCAAATGTTCATTCATTAAAAATTGCTCGTTCTCAACTCGATGATAAGGCAACTTATACATGTAAAGCTAAGAATCGTTTTGGTGAAATTGAAGCTAAAATGAATCTAACAGTTAATTCAATAAAACCAACAATTGTTCGTGATTTACAAGAACAAGAAATTATTGAAAAAGGTAAAACATTAGAACTTCAAGTTGAAATAACTGGTTTACCACAACCGGAAATTAAATGGTATAAAGGTAATGATGAAATTAATCCAACAAATAATAAAGATTATAAAATAACATTTGATAATAAACAAACTTATACATTAACTGTACAAAATTGTTCACCTGATCATCAAGCTGAATATTCCGTACAAGCAACAAATGCAGGTGGAACAGTTAAATCAAAGAAAACAAAAGTTATTGTACAGAAAAAACCAGAATTTATTAAATTACCACAATCACAAACAATTAAAGATGGACAACCAGTTGTGTTCGATGCACAAATTGATGCTTATCCACAACCAAAAGTTACATGGTAAAGAGAAAAAAAACTTTTATTTTTTAATTTTTCAAATTAAATTAGGTTAAAAGATGGTAAACCATTAACGCCCGATCTTGGTTTTGAAAGTCAATATGATATTAAAACTGGTCAAATAACACTTAAACATAAAGGTGCAACTCCTAAACATGCCGGTGAATTTATTTGTCGAGTAGAAAATTCAGCTGGTACAATCGATGCACCAGTTAAACTTGAAGTTCAAAGTAAATAAAAAATAATTTATTTTGATAAAGAAAAACATCTTCATATTTATTTTTAGCTGCACCAGTTATTACAAAAAAATTAGTTGATCAAGAAGTGATGATTGATAATGAAATTCGTTTTGTTGTTGATATTACTGGTTCACCATCACCAAAAATATCTTGGACGAAAGATGATGTACCAATCAAACCTGATGCTCAACATATTATTGAAACCAATGGTACAACTCAAACATTAATTATTAAAAATGTTAAAGCAACTGATGAAGGAAAATATCGTGTAACAGCAGAAAATCCTCTTGGACATGTTGAATCAACTGCACAATTAACAGTACTTGAACATCCACTAGTTGATCAACCATTTGGTGATATTACTCAACCAGTTGGTACTGATGTTAATCTTAAATGTAAAGTTATTGGTGGTCGACCTAAAGCAACAGTAACATGGCTTAAAAATGGAAAAGAATTTAAACCAGATGATCGACATAAAATAACATCATTACCTGATGGTACATGTGAATTATCTATAAAATCATTGGATGAAACAGATCATCAAGATAAATATACATTATTAATTAAAAATAAAGTTGGACAAAAAGAAATTCATTCAACAATTACTGTTAAAGCACCATTAGAATTTATTCAACCATTAAAAGATCAAGATATACTTTCACAATCACCATGTACATTAACTGTAGAAACAAATGGAATACCAAAACCAACAGTTAAATGGTAAAAATAAAATTTTGATTATTAATTTTTAAAATAAAATATTTTAATTCTTTAGGTTTTTTAATGATCAAGAACTTAAAAATACACCCAAAACTAAAATTGATTCGAAACAAAATACACATACATTAACATTACCAAAAGCTGAATTAACAGATGAAGGTGTTTATAAATGTATTGCAACAAATCCTGATGGTACCATTGAAACAAAAGCACATATATCTGTTTGCAGTATGTTTAATTGATTTATCCATAGGAAATTATTTATTTATTTTTTAGCTAAACCAAAAATTGAGGGTAAAGTTAATGATGTTACCGTTCAAATTAATGAACCAGCTGAGTTACGAACTAAATTTAGTGCAATACCAAAACCAATTGTTACATGGTTTGTTGATTTCATTGTTTATTTATTTCTATATTCTAATCTTAATTTTAGGTACAAAGGAAATGATTTGAATACACCTTTGAAACCAAATGAAAATATTGAAATAGGTGAATTACCTGATGGTACTAGTGTATTAAAAATCAAGAAAACTGATTTAACCGATAGCTCACCCTATATTGCTCGTGCAACAAATAAAGTTGGTGAAATTGAATCAAAAATAAATTTAACTGTCAAAGAAATCAAACCACAAATATTATCTGATATTACGAATGTTAATGCCATTCGTGATCAACCAACAGAATTTACAATCAAAGCTACAGGAAATCCACGACCAGAAATTCATTGGTTTAAAAATGATACAGAAGAAATTCTTCCAACAAATAAAGATTTTCAAATCGTTCATGATGTTCCATCAGATACATATACTCTTAAAATAAATAAATGTAAACCTGAACATCAAGGTGATTATTCAGCTGTGATATCGAATTCAGGTGGTACAATTAAATCTAAAAAAGGTAAACTCACTGTTACAAAATCACCTGAATTTCTTGAAAAACCAACATCAATTAATATCAATGAAAATGAATTAGCTGAATTTCATACGAAAATTGATGCTTATCCAGCACCGAAAATAACATGGTTATTTGATGGAAAACCAATTACACCTAAAGATGGTTTTGATGTACAAACAGATCAAGCAACTGGTACATCCGTATTAACTATTAAACAAGTAACACCTAAACATGACGGTAAAATAACTGTTAAAGCAGAAAATCCTGCTGGTTCTATTGAAGAAACTGTTCAATGTTCAGTTAAAAGTAATTGAAGAGAATTTTATAAAATATTTTATTTATTTTTTTATTCGTATTTTAGCTGCGCCAAAAATTACAAAAAAACCAACAGATACCGAAGCTCTATTGCATACAGATGCCGTCTTTACTGCTGATGTATCTGGTTCGCCTAAACCACAAGTTGAATGGTAAATATATTCTTTCGAAAACGTTAATATATTGTTTTTTTTATCTATAAAGGATTCATGCTGGTAAACCAGTAAAACCATCAAAGAAATATGAAATTATTGAAGAAACTCCGACAACTTCAAAATTAATTATTCATGATGTTACACCAGAAGATGAAGCACCAGTTCAAATTAAAGTTAAAAATCCTCTTGGTGAAACTGATACAACTGTTCAACTTAAAGCACTTGGTACATAAAATATTGCAAAAAACGTTTTTTTGTATTTTCATTATTATCTCTTTAGAAACACCACGTATTGAACCACAATTAACGGATAAACAAGTCGTACTTAATCAACCACTTGTTCTTAAAACGAAAGTTTATGGTCGTCCAAAAGTTGATATTCAATGGTTAAAAGATCAAAAACCATTGACATCATCTGATCATATTAAAATTGAACGTATTGATGATGAATGTATATTAACAATTCCAAATGTTAAAGAAGAAGATATCGGTGCATATACATTATCAGTTAAAAATAAAGTTGGAAAAGTTGATTCAGTAGCAAATGTTAATGTTACAGCTCCATTGAAATTTCAAAATCAATTAAATGATTTAGATATTATACAAGGTTCAAATGGAGTCCTAACTGTTGAATGTGATGGTGTACCAAAACCTAAATTAACATGGTATTTTAATGATACTGAAATTAAATCAACTCAAAAAACTCGTATTGATACCAAAGGTCCAATAAGTACATTGACAATTAATAAAGCAGATATGCCTGATATTGGTGTTTATAAAGTTGTCGCTGATAATGGAAAAGAAAGAATTGAAACACAAGCTAATATTGATGTTTGTGGTATGTTAGATTAATTTTGACTTTTTTTCTTTTTATATAAGAAATCTTTTTAGTTAAACCAAAAGTTGAAGGTAAACCTGCTGATGTTTCATGTCTATTAGCTGAAACAGCTAAATTAACTGTTAAATTTTCTGCTATACCAAAACCAATAATAACCTGGCATAAATCTGATGGTACAGAAGTAAAACCTGATGCACGTATTCAAATAGTTAATGATGATAGTGGACAATCAACATTAATTATTAATGATACAACCATGCAAGATTCTCAACCCTATACAGCACGTGCAACAAATAAAGCTGGATCTGTTGATGCTAAAATTAATTTAACTGTTAAAGAAGTGAAACCAACATTAAAAAATGATCTTGAACCACAAACAATTAATGTCGGTGATGAACTTGTTTATCGTCTTATTGTTGATGGTCGACCAACACCATCGGTGAAATTCTATAAAGATGGAAATGAAATTGGTCCAGTTACAATTGAACAACCTACAAAACCAGGTGATACAACTGTTACTGCTGTTCTTCGTATTCCAAAGGCTAAAATTGATGATCAAGGTGAATATCAAGCTTCTATTGAAAATTCAGCTGGAGTTGTTAAAACGAAAAAAGCTAAAGTGACTGTTCAACAAATGCCAGTTTTTCTTAAAGCACCTGAAGATGCATCTGTTAGTCAAGGTAAAGATGTTACCTATGAAGCCCAACTTTCAGCATATCCAATACCAAAAGTAAATTGGTTATTAAATGGCAAACCATTAACACCTAATGCTGATTGTGCTATTACATTTGATACAACAACACAAAAAGCTTCATTAACCTTACGAAAAGTTGATGCTGATAAACAAGCTGGAACTATTACTTGTCAAGTTGAAAACCCAGCGGGAAAAATAACACATGATGTTAAACTTGATGTTCGTACACAACCAAAATTAACTAAACCATTACAAGATGAAAGTATTGTTCAAGGACAAGATGTTACTCTATCAATTGAAGCAATAGGTAATCCAGCACCGAAACCAGAATGGTATTTTAATGATAAACCAATTCCAACAAATGATCAACGTTTTCAAATTGTAACACCGAAGGAAGGAAATCTCTATGAACTTAAAATAAAACAAACTAAACCAACTGATGAAGGTGTCTATAAAGTTGTTATGAAAAATAGTGAAGGTGAAATAACAAGTCAAGCAAAATTAAATGTTCATGTTGCACCTGTTATTGGTTCTTTACCAGCTAAAATTGAAGCTGTACAAGGACAACAAATAATAATTCCATGTAAAGTTTCTGGACATCCAAGACCTGAAATAACATTTTTAAAAGATAAAAAAGATGTGACAACATTAGATGATAAGGCTCGTTTTCGTATTGAACATGATGAAAAAACTGATGAAGTTCGTTTGATTATTTCGGATGTTAAAGAAGAAGATCAAGGTAAATATACAGTTCGTGCTAAAAATCCAGCAAATACAGTTGAAGAACAAACAAATTTAATTGTTACTGCACCATTAGCATTTATTGAAAAATTAGAAGATACAGATGTAATTAGTGGACAAAATTTAACATTAACATGTCGTTGTCAAGGTATACCAAAACCAACAATCAAATGGTTTCAAAATGATATTGAAATAAAATCAACAACAAAACAAAAAATTGAATCCAAACCTGATGGTACACAAATATTAACAGTCAATCGTGTTGATTTAACTGATGGTGGACAATTTAAAATCGTTGCAACAAATCCACAAGGGACAGTTGAATCAATATGTAATGTGAATGTTCTTATGAAACCAAAAATTGATAGTAAACCACAAGATATTCAAGTTGTTATTGGTGAACCAGCTGAATTAAATGTTAAATTATCCGGTGTACCGAAACCAAATATTCAATGGTTAAAAAATGGTGAACCATTTGATATTGATAATAAACGTATTAAAACTGTTGAAAAAGGTGATATATGTTCACTAATTATTGATAGTACACAATTGGATGATAAAGCATCATATACATTGAAAGCAACAAATAAAGCAGGTGAAACTGAATCACCAAAAATTACATTGAATGTAACAGCTGTTCAACCAAAAATACGAACAGATTTACAACCAACATTAAATGTAACTAAAGGTGAACCAATCGCTTTAACTATACAAGCAGATGGTAAACCAAAACCACAAATAAAATGGTTTAAAGGAAATGATGAAATTCCATTAAATCAACCTGGTGTTAAAATTATTGAAGAAGGTGATACATATAAATTAATTATTGAAAAAGCAACAGAAAAAGATCAAGGAGAATATAGTGCTGTTATTCAAAATCCTGGTGGACAAGTGAAATCAAAAAAGACAAATGTAACTGTTACAAGTATGTTGAAATACATTTTTTTTTAAATAAATCTAAATCTTTTTGTATTTTAGAATCGCCTGAATTTATTTCTAAACCAACTGATACAACAGTTAAACAAGGTGAAACAGCTACAATTCAATGTGAAATTGATGCACTTCCATTACCTAAAATAACTTTATTACGTGATGGAAAACCATTAACGCCTAAAGATGGTATTGAACAAACATTTGATGCATCCACTCGTCGACTTACTATCACAGCTAAAAATGCTCGTGTTGATCAAAGTGGTCCAATAACATGTAAACTAGAAAATCCTATTGGTTCAACTGAAACTTCATTTAAATTAAATGTTACAGCTGCACCAACTATTTCCAAAGGTTTAACTGATCAAGAATGTTTATTAGGTAAAGAATTACGTCTAACAATTGTATCAGCAGCAAGTCCACAACCAACAGTTAAATGGTTTAAAGATAATGTTGAATTGAAAAATGTTGGTACTAAAGTGAATGATGATACATATGAATTAGTTATTCCTAATGTTAAACCAGGAGATGAAGGTAATTATAAAGTTGTTGTTTCTAATCCACTTGGTGATAAAGAATCTCAATGTAAATTAACTGTTATTGAACCAACAGAACTTAAATGTGAATTTCCTGAACAACAAATAATTCAAGTTGGTAAACCCATTAAACTTGAATGTCATGTTAGTGGTCGTCCACAACCCGAAGTTACATGGACAAAAGATGGTAAAGAAATCAAACCATCGGATCGTGTTGAAATCATTAAAAAACCTGATGGTACTTGTATAATGTCAATTAAAGAAGCAACACCAGAAGACAAGGTAATATTATTATTGAGAGAGTTTTTTTTTAATTATTATTCTGTGTATTATTTAGGGTGTTTATAAAGTTATATGTAAAAATAAATTACAAACACGTGAAGCTCAAACAAATATTCAAGTTGCATCCCCATTAAAATTCAATACAACACTTAAAGATACTATAGCACAAGTTGGACAAAGTGTAACACTTGAAGTTGATTGTGAAGGATTACCTAAACCAACAGTGAAATGGTTACATAATGGACAAGAAATACCAGCATCACCTAAATATAAAGTTGAATCCAAAGGAAATATTAATAAATTAACCATACCTAAAGTTGATCTTATTGATACAGGTGTCTATGAAGTTATTGTTTCAAATGGTCTTGAAACTATTAAAGCACAATCAAAACTTGATGTTTGTCTTAAACCAAGTCTTAAATCTGATTTAGTCAAAGATATAACTGCTCAAGCAGGTGAAACAATTCCATTACAAATCAAAGTTGCAGGTACAAAGCCGAAAGTAAAATGGTTTAAGAATGGTGAAGAAGTTATTGAAACAACGGAAGAAAATTTTGAAATTGTCGAAGAAGAAGAAACATATACATTATTAATTAAAAAAGCGAAACCAAATGATGGTGGTGAATATCAAGCTGTTATTACAAATGATGTTGGAGAAGTTAAAACAAAAAAAATTAAAGTACAAGTACAAAAAGCACCTGAATTAAAAAAGAAACCACAATCATTAGTTACGGTTAAAGAAGGTGAACCAGCCCAATTTGATTGTGAATTTGATGGAAATCCATCACCGAAAGTTACATGGTTACGTGATGGAAAACCACTAACACCAAAAGATGGTTTTGATATTAAAACTGATACTGCAACAGGCAAAAGTATATTAACAATAAATCAAGCAACACCAAAACATGCTGGTCCAATAACATTACGTTTAGAAAATTCTGTTGGAACACCAATTGAAGAAATTGTCCAATTACAAGTTGAAACAGCTCCACAATTATTACAAAAACCACAACCTACCTGTGAAGCACATATAAATCAAACAGCTTCAATTCCATTTAAATGTTCAGCAACACCAAAACCAACAATTAAATTATATAAAAATGAAATACAAATTCCATTGAATGCTGATCATTATGAACTTGTACCTAGCTCAACTGATTCAACAAGTTATGAAATAAAAATTAAAAATGTTCGACCTGATGATGAAGGAAATTATCGTATTGGCATTGAAAATCCATTAGGAAAAACTGAAGCTCATGTACAAGTAACAACAGTTGATGCAGTATCAATAAAACCATCAAAACCAAATAAAACTGATTTAAAACAACATGAAACATTAGTACTTGAATATATTGTTGATGGAAAACCAAAACCTGATGTTACTTTTATGAAAGATGGTAAAGAAGTTAAACCATCACCTAAAACACAAATAACTTATGATGAAAAAACAAAAGTGTGTCGATTAGTAACAACAGATGTTGGTCAAGAAGATCAAGGTGTTTATACATTAATTGCAAAAAATAAATTAGGTAAACAAGAAACTGAACCAGTTAAAGTTAATGTTACAGCACCAATTGTTGTTAAAACAAAATTACCTGAAACTGTGGATGGTATATTGGGTGAACAAACCGTTTTAACTGTTGAAGCTGAAGGTCTTCCACAGCCAAAAGTAACATGGCTGTTCAATGGTCAACCAATAAAACCATCACCAAAACATAAAATTGAAACATCAAAAGATAATCCAAATCAAACAACATTAACTATTCCTAAATTAGATACAACTGATACAGGTAAATATACAGCTGTGATTGAGAATGGTTTTGAAAAAATTGAAACAACGACTACATTACATGTTCATACCAAACCTAAATTAGAATCTAAACTTGAACCAAATCTGACATTTGATATTGGTCAACAAGCACAAATACCAATTCGTTTAAGTGGTGAAAATAATACAGTTAGTTGGTATAAAGATTCTCAAGAAATTAAATTTGATAAACGTATTCGTGTCGTTACAGAAGAATATAATTCTTATAAATTAATTATTGATGATTTACGTTCGGAAGATAAAGGTACTTATTCAATGATAATTAAAAATAAAGGTGGTAATTTAGAAATTAAAACAGTATTAAATGTTAAAGAACAAAAACCACAATTATTATCGGATTTAAGTGATTCACCAGCTGCAAATACAGCTAAAATCGGTGAAAAATTCTTCTTAGAAATTCGTGCACAAGGTAAACCACGACCACAAGTCACATGGTTATTTAATGGACAAGAATTATCGTCGAATTCATCTGATTATGAATTAATTGTTACTGAAGATGGTACATATCGTATTGTATTTAATCAATTTCATGAACGATATCTTGGTGAATATCAAGCAATCATTACAAGTACTGCAGGTACAATACGAACAAAAGTTATACGAGTTGTTGGTCAACAAGCACCCATATTTACTCAGGCACCACCTAAATTTATACAAATAAAAACAGGTGAAAAATTAACTATTGAATGTACAGCAAAAGGACATCCACCACCAAAAATAAGTTGGTTACGAGATGGAAAAGTTCTATCAAATAAAGATGGTTTTGATATCAAATTTGATCAAACAACTGGTCATTCAACATTTATTATTCCACAAGGAACAGTTAAACATTCAGGAAAATATGAATGTAAAGTTGAAAATCAATATGGTACACATACATCTGAAATTAATATTGATGTTCTTCGTAAGTTTCATAGACGATGGAAAGAGAAAATTAAATGTCTTTTTTTAAAATTTTAGCACCTCCTGTAACTCAACAAAAATTAAAAGATTTTGATGTAAAACGTGGACAAGAAGTTACAATTACTGTTACTGCAAATGGTTCACCATTACCATCATGTAAATGGTTTCATGGTGATAAACAACTTCAAGCCAAAGCTAATCGTATTATTATGACCGATGATGGACCAACACATATTTTAAAATTACTCGATGTTGAATTAACAGATGCAGGATCATATAAAGTAATGCTTTACTTTTTGTTTCTAATTATCCTATGTTATTTTATTTTAAGGCCGTTGTTGAAAGTCTAACGAGTACAACTGAATTAATCAGTCAAGTCATTGTTAGAGGTAAGTTTATATTTATTGAAATTGTACAAAATATATATTTCGAATTAATTAGATGTAACAGACGAATCATCTGTACCAGTTGAAGTTCGTGTAAGTGAAGGTGGATCATGTACACTTGAATGTCAAGCACCAGGTACACCTTTACCAGAAGTTATTTGGATAAAAGATGGTCAACAAATAAAAGCGAGTGAAAATTTTGTTTTCGAATCATCTGCAGATGGTGTACATCGTTTAATAATCAAAAATGCTGTATTTGCAAATGCTGGAAAATATATTGCAAATGTTAAATATAAAATACAACAACATTTCATGAATTTTAATGTTACTGTTACAGAACGAAAAGTAGGAACATCAGCTAGTGCAACTATTAATTTAACAGGATTAAGTCTTGAACAACAAATACAACAAATTCAAACTCAAATACGTCCATTATTTCTTCATTTTGGTTTACAAGATATTCCATCTTCACTGAATGATATTTTATTTAATTTAACACATGATAAAAATTTTCAAACACCACAAGATCAATTGAAAGAACGTGAACGTTTATTAACTGTACTTGGAAATTATTTATATCAAAATTCAAATCGTCAATTAGGTAATGGAAAAAAACTCAATTGGCCAGAAGTCGTAAAAATTATTTTTTATAATCGTTTTCCACAAATTGCACAAACACATCAAATTATTGATAGTGCTGATGGATATAATGTTCAAATAAATGATCTTATACAATATTCGAAATAAAAAA